AAATCACTTTGAAAAACATTTAATATGAATTTAATGTTTACGTTTAATTAATAAAGTATTTGGAAAAAAATAAATAAGTTTTATTTACTTAATATAACGTAAATAAGTCATAACAATGAAAATCTTTGGGTGTGAATACATCCTAACAAAACGTTTGCGGACATACCTTCACAGTAATTTTTCTTTTCTTGTTTTGAGGTCCTTAATTCATATTTTCAGTTTGGCCACTTAACCCTGAAACATCCTGTAGAGAAAAGAATAAATAACAAAATTTTATAAAATAAATAACTTTTATTTGACCAATCCTTTTGAAAGTTTAAGAACAGATCTACTATCATAGGCGTTTAAGGTTATGTAAGGCTAAACACTCGTTTAACAACAGACATAATTAAAATTGATTTTTTTTTTTACTCTGGGCAAATAAAAAATAAATGTTTAACATCGAGACATGATTTTCGTTACCGATTGGTGTATTTTTTTTTCATAATCGAAAATATCCACCGGTAATGGATGGGTGGTATTGAATTGACATTAGGGCGGATTCCCCCGAACGAGTGGGGCACGTCGCGGCCCTATTTCCTCAGGGCGATAAAAGCCAGTTGTCCTCTCACCGCCATGGTCATTATTGGGACTGATAGGTGCGCTTCGTTGCTCTCAAATGAACGATGAATGCGTGCTAGCTTTAAGAATTTTATGATGATCCGGTATTATTTCGATTATTTCTTCATTATCGGTAAGATGAAAAAGTATCTCATACAAAAACACGTGAAATTTTCCAAAAATGATTCCTGTAATTTAGTTTACTACTTTTTTAGTTTCCTACCTATACTAGATAAGAAAAGATTTTCGACGGATATGTACATTTCTATACGAGTCCGAAAAAAACATTTTTAGCCAATTTCCTACAAAGCTATGTAAAAATCGTTCATTTTGGACAACTACTAACGAAGTTACAGCTATTCAATTTCCAATGTAAGATTACGGGTTCATATCCTGGTGTCAGAAAGGGGTGAATGAGAGAAAAAAAGATGACCAAGTGAAAGTAAGAAAATCTGTTGCCCGTATCACACAAGCTTCACTATTTTCTTTACTTTTAAGAGAAATTATTGTTTGACAATACTAAGCTATGGCAAGAAGTTTTTGATCAGCAATATTAGAGAGTATTGAAATTTTTGCACTGATCTACATTAAGCCGGTTTACATTGCTTTAGTTTATCAAAAATATCGTACTGAAATCTTTTCTTTGAACAATTTTCAGGAAAATAAATCAAATTTAATTTTTTTTTTCTTCATCCACATATGTAAATATACAAAAACTCTTCTGAAATAGGTAGGAAAGTGTGTGAGTGGACACACCATATATTTTTTAAACCAACCATAATCTTTTTGTAACTTTAGGCCAAATCTAACGTATTGATTTTGAGATACAGTCGTATCAAGGAAGATAAGTGTGCGCATATGTAAGAGAGAGTAGTGAATGAAATCCGAAAATAAGTCAATGAGATCCGATGAAATTTATATGGGATATCGAAGCCCTAATATCAATAATCGATATTTTCATCGATATTGTAAACATTTTTGAAATATTAATATCAATATAAATAATGATTCTGTAGCAGATAAGTGACAAGATTTTCTTATCTTTAAATTAATTAATGGAATTATGAATTCTTCTACCCTCGTTAGTAAAATCTTCGTCTTTCTCAGTTTTTTAATGAAATTTCTATTTCTAATATATTAAAATTCCATTCACCGATGGATCGGATCAGCTAAATGCTAATTTATTTACATCCAACATAGATTTCTTTTAGATTGTTTTAGTTTATCAAATGAATCGTACTCTAATCTTTTCTTTGATCAATATTCGGGAAAATAAATCTAGTTCAATTTTTTTTTTGTTTCCCTTCTGAAAGATATAATAACTTTTCTGAAATAGGTAGGCAAGTCGTGTGAGTGGACACACCAGATATTTTTTTTTTAAATTCTATTTGTGTTTCATTAAATTTTGTTGTTTTTCTTAGATTAATTTATTCGGTTTACACCAATCAATACAATCCATATTAAATTTTCAGCGATGCTTCCGTTACTAAGCCCAACTATTTTACATGTCTATTTCAATCACCGCAATGTAATCACCTCAGTTACCGTTTAAATTCTCCGATTGATTCCTTCTTCGGTCCGAATATTCTACACAATACTTTATTTTCAAAAACTTTTATGATGCTGCTCATGCCATAATTTGGGCGGCCACGTTTCGCATTCATAAAGAACCGTAGGAAGTAATAGTAAATTCTAATTTTCAATTTTCAAGATAGGAAGCGCAATGGAGGTGGTCTCAGCTTGCTGAAGTTTGAATGTTTTAAATGTAGGTCTCTTTATCATTCTTAGCGGTCTTAAGCTACAACTTATCCGTACGACTTTCATCGTGTTCCCTTGGATTGTTTGTGGGTGTTCCAAACAATTGTGAAGTATCCATATTGCTCAAGCTCTGAATGTTAAGAGATTGTCCCCTTATTCTGTGCTCATCCTATATAAGCCCTAAGCTTATCTCATTTTCTTCTTTGAAAGGAGTAAAGAGAGATAAAGATATTTGAAAGATAGAACTAAATCGTCACCGTTTTTGCAGATAACCATTTGTCTTGTCATTATTTTTTTTATTTTTTGTTATTGGCCCCAGTTTTCTATCGGCTTTCGTCAACGTTGTTGTATTTAGTTTTATAGTTTACGTGTCTTCGACGCTACTAAATCATCAGCACACCTAAGTATGGATATTGTTAAAAAAATTCTCTATACATATCACCTCTCTTTGTATAAATATGATTTATGATATACCTATAAAAATAACTAAAATATTATTTTTTTAACAAAGCGTACTTTAAAAAAACATACTGCAACCTTTCGTAGATGTGAATAATACCCCAGTGAACTATTTCATTGTCAGTATCATGTTGTTGTCATAAATAGTAAGCAGTTTTAAGCGGCATTTTCGTTGTTCACGGCTGTGCAACTGATTGTCTAACCCTCTGTTTATCAGCTACCTTCCAATATCTTATATTTCTCGAACTTTTTCCTCTGATCTCCGACTTACCCAACTGATACATAATGACCAGTATATTTCGAATTTTTGATATTTCCAGTAAACTGTATCATTCTGTATTTATTTTAAGGCCGGCCAGACGTCAAAAATTGGCAAGAAATTTCTGATATTATAATTTAACGAATTTTATTATACTTTGCTATACATAACAGTAGGGTATATTCTGAGCACTCGGCCGTCGGTGAATTCGATAACTTTAATATCCATCTATCCTCATAGCTGACAAAATTGACGGCATATCCTGATGTTATCTTTTGCTTGAGGACCGTTTGGAGATACTCTCCCCTCGAGATCAGTAACAGACGGTATATCCAAACAATATTCTGGGAGGAGATATAAAGGCCCTAAGTGGAGTGGACACTCGCGGGCTGTCAACGCCTGGGCATCCGCTGTCTATGGCAGCCCTCGCTTCCCAAATGAACAATGTCCCCTCAACTCCTCCTCCTCCTCTGGAAAAAATGACACATTTTACCATTAAAATACAGCCGGAAAAAGTATTTTATTTAATAATGAGTTATTTAACTGATGAAATCTTCTGGGGCTAAATAATATCGTCTAGGACGTAAATTTTATCAATTTTGGTGTTCCTATAAATTCACTAATGTACATTTCTCATTGATCGTTTTTGTTAATTTGCACCTTACTTCTCGAACTAAAAACACAATAAGTGTAAATTAAATATACCTTCTTTTAGCGAATATAATTACGACAAATCCACAATTTTCTGATTTGACAAAGTGAAAATTAATCAAATTTCAGTTTCGTACTTACTATGAGTGATCCACTTTCGCATCTTCTCTCATAAAAATGAATCACATAAATTATTAATTTGTGATGAATAAGTCCATATGGATGTATATGGGTCTAAGTAATTATGTATACTAGTAGGCCCGTGCGAAAAATTCGCACAGCATATTGTTACCAAATGCCAAATTAATAAGAAAATAAAATAATGCAACGTATCAAAATATAAAGTAATCGATTGTTACTTTATCGATCAATATAATCGACAAAGGAAACAAAAATTAATTTAAATCTTCATTTTTGTTTGGAACCGACATGTTTACAAATTTCAATAAGCTGTATCTTTGCTAAAAATTGTCCGATTTCGATGATTTTTTTTGCCTTAATCCTTTATATAGTAATGGGCATAAGCGAGAGAAAAATGTGTACTTTTTTAGCTATTCGCAAATAAAGTTTGTTTTCTTTCATAACTTGTTTGCCTGCATTTTCGGGGTGATTGGACTATTTTGACCGCATGAAGGAGAAGGAAGCCTTTCAAATTGGTTGCTCAATCTTGAGATTTGGTGAAGAATTAACGATGATATGGCTTGCCGATCAAAAACACCATCGATATATATATAATATAATATATTTATATTTTAATATAAACTCCTCCTCTGTCGATCACAGAGGCCTCAAAGTCAACGAAATGAGACATGTATTCAATGACAGTACTACAATTAACGTAAGGTTCTGTGAATGCGAACCCTATGCGTTATCTCGAAAATAGTACTTTTTTGAGCTTAAAAACGCAGGATCCGATAGTTCCTGGATGTATGGAGGAATTATAACATCAAAATCTTAAAGGTACAATTTGTCCCGTATTGATCTACAAACCTACTACCGTTCCAGTATTGAAGCCTAGCAAAATGTTTGTATCGACTTCATTTATTTTAGAAAGAAAAACAAAAGTGGAGAATACGACTCGCTTATCTCCCGTGAAATTTTGAATCCAACGGTACCCCATTCATGGTATTTGAACATGACAGGAACTTATATTTGGTACAAAACCGATTTGGAGCCTTGCTGTAATAATATATGTGGGGATGGGGATGGATTTAGAGAAAATCCGATTAAGTAGTTATAGTCGTTTGTTAAGTGTCTTGTGTTTAATTTTCACATGCCGGTCCCATGTTATCCTTCTGTTGATGGTATGTCCAACATAAAGTACCGTGTCCGTTTAAGGAATTCGATTGTTGTCAATATAAACTGGAGAGAGGTATTTTTTCGAAGAGTAAATACACGGTATCGCTAATAAGATCCACCTACAAAAACTTCAAACCTTCCAATCAAAATTATTGCGACTCATAACAAAAGCCTCTTGGTACGTGACTAACAAAACTCTACATACTGTAGAGACTGTATGTATACTGTTCCAACAGTTGACCAATATATAACGATCCTTTATCAACGATTTTACACTAATTTAAACGGACATAATAACAGGCTAATAACAGCTGACGAACCCTATAAACCAAGGAGGAGACTAAAAAGGTGTTGAATGAGAGATCTCTCCTTCATTAAACAACCTTAGTAATTAGTGTCTTTCTCCTTAGTGGTGAGTACTGCCCTTCTCCATGCCTGTCAAGCCATTATTTCTTGTATCTCCAGCACATTTGCTGATTGTCAACAAAAAGTTGAGAGGCTCTAATACATTTTTATATTATAAAATGTATGCATTATTTTTTGACGATAATTTCTAGTATTTTAGAAATGTATTGGTAAAAGAAAAATGAGTTTTGTTTCCAGACTAGTCCTACAAATTAATAGTTCTTTGTTCCATATTAATGATGCATATAACCTTTTTTTTATAACACATTTTCCATGTGATTGATTGATGTCTTATAGGGATGCCATACTAATATTAAAAAATATATGAAGAGCCTCATATAAAAGGCGGACATCTTTCCTTTTCACAAAGTTGAGAAAAATATTTTATTTTTAAAATAGCTTCAATCCAATAAACCTATTCTAATGATGTTTTTTCATGATTCAACTTAACATTTTTAAATAAAATAATAAGAATTAGTTTGAATTTAATCTATAAAACAAAAATTGGATTTGTCTCTACATTTTGAAAATGTCCGTTTTGATATAAAGCCACTCATATTATTTAACATTAAAATTAACGAAATATTTGGTAGGCAGATTGTATTATTTCTAAACCTAACCAGGATCATGAAGATAATCAATTTAAAATTTGGATAAGATTGGCTCAATCACTTTCGCAGTTAGCGGTTGCAAATGAGAAAGAAATCATCCTTCTATATATAAACTTTTGTTTTTTCTTCTGGCATTACAGACCTTAAAGATCTTTTGCCTCCTTAACTAGCTTTCTCCATCTGCCTATCTTGGCCTTAGCTTTCCATTTATCTGCATGCAGCTATTGCATCTTTGTTGATTCGACTTAGAAGAATGAGAAAGAATGATAGACCTAATAATATATTTTTTTTTTTTATGAAAAAATGAGACACCTCCTTAGAAATTGATAATAAGTAAACCCCTCCATAACTATTAATATTTTAAAAATAAATATTACTATCCTAATTTTGTTTATAGGTATTATCCCAGAGTGGCTAAACGGAAGCTATATTCGAGCTGGTCCTGCCATTTTCGACGGTGTCAAAGGATTTACAGTGAACCATTGGTGCGATGGCTTTGCTGTTGTCTACAAATTTGAGATCCAGAAAGGAAAAGTAAGTTGAATTTAAATTTTAAAAATCGGTACATTTAATTGAATTATATATTACTGATAAAAATTAGTCTGCTATTTCAGAATTACACTACAAATTCCATTTTATTAATTTTAGGTTTTTATTTAATTTTTAGTGCATTTTTTTTTTTAATATTAGGCTTCTATCCATTAATTATTAAGCATTACTGAGATATCATACAAAAATTAAACACCAATACCAAAGATTTATAAAAATGCTCTAATTTATTTATTTATACATTTTATCATATTTTATTACCTATAAATGTCTATTATTATCCTTATTTATTTATTTTATTCTATCAATCCATTTCTTTATTTATTAATTTTTTTTTTTTTAGTATTAAATGATGTTATTTAGTTGATCGGGTGCTTATGACCTGGATGTTTTGCGCCTAGACATCGAAACAAACAAACAAACCAAAGATTTAACTCTAATTTATTTATGATTGGTAATTGGTTGACTGTCGTGGATAATGAAGAGAAGAATAGTTGGGGTGCTCAGTCAAAAAGGAAGGCAAAAATAAATTATAATATTTATTTTTTACATATGCCAAATATAAACATATATGTAAAAAATAAATATTATAATTTATTTTTGCCTTCCTTTTTGACTGAGCACCCCAACTATTCTTCTCTTCATTAATTTATTTATGTTTTTAATTGCTTGTTTTCGAAAGTGCATAACTTAAGGTCTCGAACAAGTAGGACATACATTAATTGTTTAAGGGCCTCATGTTCTGCCAATATAAATTAATCTCAATACATCAAGACCATGACAGTATTTAAAATTAAATATTTTAAATTACAAAATAAAATTATTTTTTTTGTATTTTACATTTTTCGAAATTAAGTATAAAGTACATTGTTTATAATTTTATAAAACGTTTATTAAAAATTATGAGCGTGTCCAGGAGAAGGCAGAGGAGGGGGTGAAACGTAGGTATTTTGTTGTTTTTTTATAATTAAAATACAAAATAATTTTGGTATTTCAAATTTACAATACTTTTTTTTAAAACAATTTAAATACTCTGTAATTGAAATATGCTCTATTTCAAAAACACAAAATAAATGATATTTAAACTAATTCATTTTAAAATTATAATTAAAATAATTTTTGCCCAGGTCTGGTCTCAATAGTTAAACATTTGCCCTTTTAACAATTAATGAATATTCCACCTTGATTGTTTTTGAACAGTTCCTTCAAATTTCAATATTTTTGTTCCAAGGTATAGATTCACTTGATCTTTTAACAATTTTGTGTTCACTGAGAAAAATATTTATGTGAATAATTGTGGTATATTAAAATTGATATAAAATATTTGATATATTTTCAGGTTACCTTCAGCAAAAAGGCCGTTGCTTCTGATGCTTACAAAAAATTCAAGGAAGTCGGCAAGCCCGTCTACACAGAGCTCGGAACGAAAGCGCACACAGACACCAGCAAGAATATATTTCAGAAAATAGTTTCTAACATGGTTACAAATATTGAAATAATTTTCTGCTTTTAAAAAGAAGGGAGTTTGGTTTTTAATTTCTACACAAATTTGATAGGTTCCAGAATTAACCGACAATGTTGGCAATAACATATTCAAATTAGGGAATACGGTTTATTTATCAACAGAATCTTCCACCCAGCGGATTTTAGACCCCGGTGATCTTTCAACGGACAAAAAAGTATAACTATTTTTGATATTTCTGTTATAAGAGCTAAATATCAATAAATTTCAAATATATTTACATAATTTCAGGTGAATGCGGCCTCTTTATTAAAAGTGAACCTTTTATGTTCTCACGTTATAATTGATGAAGATGGAACTGCTTACACTGCGGGAGCGTCATTTGCAAACGGATTTAAATGCCAAATTATCAAAATACCCAAACCTCCAAAGCCAGCAGAGGTGCCAGGACTAGGTAATATAGTAATAATCAAGTTACTTTTTCCATTTTTTTTTTCAAATTACCAATCAATGCTAAGATTTATCCAGTCACATCAACCAATCGTTTCACATAATTATCAAGGGATTCTATCATATTTGATAATGGTTAATACCCTATAAGGAAGGGTCTATCCAGCTCAATATAGGAATTGACCAATTTTCTAAATTTCTTTCATGTAGAGGATGACTATATATTGTAATTAAAATGTTGAAATTCTAACAGATATTCCTTTAACTGTAAGCACTAGGGGATTCAGAATTTAATTTTGGGGAGCTCAGCCCGTAAGCTTTACATATATAAAACGACAATTACTTTGGAAGAAAAAGAAAGAAACTAACTACGTATTCGAAAAGGTATTTAAGTGAATCTTAATAGAAATTATAGAAATAATTTTTTTCAAGTCATAGTTACATTTTACCATTTTGTGGGGCTTCAGCTCAAAAACGCCTTCCCCTGCCTGTAGATCCGTATGTTACTATAAGGAATTTATTAGAAATTTGTTGCTATTTTATCCTAATTTTTTCATATAGATTTCCTATCTCACATTCCCTTCCTGGATATCCCTATTTTCTTATTTTCAAAGATCCAGCATCTCAAACCTATTCTATATTTTCATTTACATAGTTCCGTGTTGTTTAAACGATTGAATCTTGATATTTATCTCTTTTATAATTTTTTATTCCATAAATCTTAATCTGCTATCGCCATGATCAAATACACAGAACTTTTTTGATAAAATATAGTTCTAAGAAATGCCATATCATATCACCTGCTGATGCAACATGCTATTTAGAATTAGTTTTAGAATATAAGGGAGCGATCAATTGACTGAACAGCGGAATTGTAAGTTTATCAATCCAACAAACCTATTAGTGTTTGGTCATGCTAAAGTAAACATCTTTTAGAGTCTGATTGACACAATAGGTCTGAGTAGGTGCACAATATCTGCTAAAAAATAAAAATAAAATAAAAAATTAGCTTTTGATCTTTAAACACATCTGATTATTTTATAGGAATAGTGTTTTGTGCCACTTAGATCATCTTCAAATTTCAAAGTACGAAATAAACATATAATATTTGGATTATGCTTATTTTTCTTTAAACTAAATTATCATGCTTTAATTTTAACTGTAAATATACAACACATTTCAAATTACAATTACTACACTGATTTTTTTTTTTTAAATGACCATAACTAAATCAATTATAGAATTATTTAGCCAATTTACCTTACAATTTCATTCCAGTAATTTAATGAAAATATCTGGATTTTAGTGCAAATTTTGAAGAAATCTTTATATCTGTCATTTTTTATTTATTTTATTGATACTTGGCCAACTTGAATGAATTTAGTATTTGTTCATTATGTCTTTCAATTTTTATTAAAATTAAGTCCCCAGTATATTATTATGATATAGTTATTAAAACATTTCAACAATGATACTACATTGTTCTTCCTGATCAAAACTATCCATATTTTAATTTGAACTAATATTTAGTACTTTCTGGTTGAGGAAGATCTGATTGATAAAACAGCATTTCTCTTTTTTAAACATACTTACTATAGATATTCCTTACCCATCCCCACTCCTACATTTTATTTCTGTTCCTCCATTTGACTATCGACTTATGGATACATAGTAGCAGTAGCTTCATCTATTGATCCCTTTTATATTGAAACAATAACAAACCTATTAAAAAGGATACTTAGATTACTATATTAACTAAAATTGCTTATTTATAATTGATTTTATTTAGAGTAAAAAATATGGAGAGTGTAATACAAAATTATTTGTTTTCTTTTTTTATTTATTTTTTTTATTTTGTCTCCTATTTTTAACTTCAATTCAATTATCCCTCATTAGTAAGCCAAACTGCCTCTTGGTTTAAGAACTCCTTTGGTATTTTAAAACTATGTATTGTGTTTTTCTATGAAAAAAGACATAATTTATATTTATTATTTTTCTGTTACCTTTTTTTTCCTCAAGCATAGGAGGATTTTTACTAAAGTTTCCCTAAGCCGTTCTCAATTAATATCTATATTTTTTCAATAGTCTCTATAATTTAAGCCAACCAATCATTGCCTTGAAATCTATTATAATCTTTCTAGCTTTCAATCTCTTATTAGAATATTAATAATTGGAATAGTAATGTATTTCAGAATATACCAAAGGTTATACCCTGGCTACCCTTGATAACAAAATACCTAAGTTCAGCGGGTATCACCACAGCTTTGGGATCTCAAAAAGGTGGATAATCTATATTGAACAACCGCTTTTCATGAATAATATGAAGATGATGACTGCATATTTCCGGGGTAGGACTTTATTGGACTGCATGGAATGGATTCCTCGTGAAAAGGTAGATTCATACACATAACATTGTATTTTAACATTGCCAAATAAATATATTATAATTCAATTAAGTTCAAATTATTACAATAGAAAAGAAATCATAAAAAAAAAAAATTTGTCAAACCAGTAGTGGAATTAAAACTGCTGAAAAAACATTTTTTGTTGTTCGAACAACTAGAATTGTTAATTTTACTAAAGATCACACAGTATTTAATAAACAGTGCATTGCATATTTCGCTAAAAATACATGTTAATGGAGTGGTCAGTATTGAACCATATGTCAAATCTGAATATGTCAAATATGGAGCATACTTTCAAAAAGATACATTTCCAATTTGGAAAACTTTTCAATAAGTTATTAAGATTAATACTGAAATAATTATATAGGTGTTCTGGAAATAGCATTAAATAAAACAGGCATATAAAATATAACATCCTATAAAATTAAATTGTCCAAAAATTAAATATTTGCTTGGAATATGGGCATTTTTGATTACAATAAATGAATTTGATTCTGTTTTAGAAAAAAAAAAAATGTATATAATCAATAAAAATATCTTATTTAAAAAATAATAACCTTGAAAATTGGAATGATAGAATTAGCATTATTTTTATAGATGGTATGTTTCTAGTAACTAAAATCATATTCAATTATTTCTGTTTAACTGTTAAATAATGTGTAATAGCTTAAAAGTATAAAATTATTCCTTTGGAATTCAAAGTTCAATTATTCACTATAGGTTTTTGTAAATCCAGTATTTCGAGTTTAAAACAAAACTCTCTCTCTCTTTATATATATATTGCTACATATATATTTTAACGAGGTTGCTACATATATATTTTAAAGTTATTTACTTAGCCATGTTCTCATTTTCAGTCTGATATAATTATAATAGTTATAGTCAAGTATTAAACCTCAGTAACTTAATTAAACTAACTTTTATTATAGTATATAGTGTATTTTATAAAATAATAATTATTACAATTGTTATGTATGATTATTTTCAGAACAGGTTCTTCTTAATCGATAAAATAAGTGGAGGAATAAAACCAATTATTTACGAGTCGCAATCAGCTTTTTTCTTCTTACACATTTGCAATGCTTATGAAGACAATGGCGAGGTAAATTTTATTATTCAGGAATAAAATAGTTTCATCTACTATGTATAAAATATATTGAAATTTTACTTTCCATCGCAAAGATATCTAAATTGCTATACTTCCAGGACCTGGCATTAAAACATAGAGGTAGTATTCTTATTTTGGAGATATGCATTACTGTATTAGAACAAATAACTGAAAACAAGTTTTTTATTGCCAAAGCTTAGTAAAAAGAGAAATTAATAAAATATCTTTATGCATACCTGACTATTTTACATAAATTGGCCAATACCATAACAGTTTACGGCAGCAGATTTCAAAATATGTTTATCATGGCACCCTTCTTGAGCTAAGAAATCTTCACGATATTTTTGTAGGCCTAATAAAATTTTGTAACACATTTATTCTAATACCACATTATAATAAAATCTTCTGTCCAATAACTTGGAGATAAAGAACACATGTATATTTTTGTATTTGTTCAGAGTAGCCAATTTTCCATAACTTTGAGCTATTAAAATTTGTTTCTTAGTTACTAAATTATTTATTTAAATAATGGTGGTGTCCTTCACCTCTGAGGCACAGATGTAAACCAAATACAGTTTATTCACAGATGTCTCAAATTTGAATGATTTTAATTTTAGCTCTGTTACAATTGAATATAAAATTGTTTTCAGATCGCCTATACCTCAAATTGACAATTTTGATCTTAAGTATTAAATATTGAAATTAAATATAGCTGTCATTACACACTATCATGCATTTACGGCAAGGGTACCAAATTTCACCCAGTTTGAGAACATTTTTTTTTTTTCATATTAAGAAATTAATTTAATGGCAATTAGCGAAAAACAAAAATGTAAAACAATTTTTTTTTTAAGCTGATCATAGATCTCATAGCACATGACAGTCCTGAAATCCTTACCAAACTCCATCTGAAGTACTTGAGAAATGCAGACTTCTCCCTCAAAGACAAAGCATCCGCGAGAAGATATATTTTACCTTTAGTTGATAATCTTGAGGTAAGTCTAGGGGATTTATTCATTTTATGAAATAGTTTAGGAAAAGTATATTGTTAGTATCAATGCATCAATTTTCAGGATTTACCAGAAAAAGAAAATCTTATAAAAAGAGACAAAAGAGTCAGTGCAATGAGAATAAAGGACAAAATTATAGTGAACGGTGCTATATTAACTGAACCCAACTTCAACTTGCCTAACATTAACCCAGCATTTTCTTGTAAAAAGTATCAATATTTCTATGCCACCGGACTGTTCGGCTTGAGTGTGTATCGGGCAAGTGTAAGTAACTGTACTAAAAATTGATTTAAAATATTACCTCGCCCATAAGTATTCCTCTTAATATAATAACTTAATAACTTAGCTTTGAAATCTCTTAATATACCTACATATTATTGTTTACAAATATCTTTGTCAGTAATTAGCTGCTATAGGTTTTTCTCAATTTTGTTTTACCTTTCAGATCGTCAAAGTAAATGTTGACACAGGTGAAGTATTGACATGGAAGGAGAATGATGATGCGATTCCTGGCGAACCTGTGTTTATATCTAATCCTAAGTGCCAAGATGAAGATGGGGGTGTCCTTCTCACTGGTGTTACAGACCTCAGAGAAGGAAGAAAAGATTTTCTCATTATAATAGATGCTAAGACGATGGTGGAAGTAGCCAGGGCAGAAGTAGATGCACATGTTCCTCACCTCTTCCATGGCATTTTTCTATCATCTGATGGATAGTTCAATAAATAATGTTAAGTCAGATAATCATCAAATTATAGCTGTATTTAAGGAATATTTTTTAAACTGATACCTCATAATGTTAATAGATTTTTTTTTTCAATTTGTAAATATTTTTTTTATACCTATCCAAAATATGATTCGCAATGTGCCACAGCCGATTCCTAATGGATGACTACAGATAACACTACAATGCTATTGAGGACAATGCCAAATGTATGCTAACTGTACTTAAGTTCAAATAATATTCTTATTTTGAACAGTTGAAAATCAAATATCTATAATCATGAAAAAATGTAGAAACAGTAAAGTATCCTTGCATAGTAAAGAAAAAAAACAATACAGTAACTTTAATTTGGTCTGCACTGAATTCTAATAGGAAATTATGATTGATTGATTTTGGCTGTTCACTTAAAATGAAATAAGTTCCTATTTTTTTCTAAGAAATCATTCTTTTATTCTTTGTTTTCACTAAAGTACATTAAGACAATATAATGAATATTAAGTAACTGTGCCCTGAGATAATATATTCTATATATATATATATATATATATATATATATATATATATATATAACACTTAGTACCTATTTATAATTTATTCAATTGCAATCGAATTATTATTATTATTATTAATCAAAATTATTATTTTGAGTAACAAGAGATTCGCAATCATTATTATTGAGATATTAATGTATTATCTAAAATTTATTTTTTTGGGGGTATTTTTAAGCTAAAATATTCTATCCATTTTATCTTTGAACCATGAATACATTTAAGTTAGTAGGTCGAACAGTTATATCTGAGTTATTTTACATGAAAGGTGATGGTGATAAAAACAATCATTTTTATCCTAAAGTTTTTAGGATAGTTTTTTTGGGACACGAGTATAAGCTTGCTGAAAATAAGTTTTCTCAATGTTCCTGAGGCGGCTTTCTTTATTACTTATTTTAGTTGGGAAATGTGAGGTCATGATATGGTTTTTAAGAAGACTACTGTAGTGGTAACCACACAGTAAAAGTAAAGAACGTTTCTTGATGTCATGTCTGACATGATAACATGACTATCGAATTAGCCAGGACCTTGACTAATTCCATAGTCATGTTTAAATCTTAATAAGTGGACAGAGAACTTTCAGATAATTTGTTTGTAATCCTACAATTTATACAAATTCTCACTCATTTCATGGTACGTAGAAATGACAGAAAAGAACAAAATTTTTGTGCATCATCTCATAGTAGTAAATGAGTAGGTAATTTTGAAATAATATTCTTAGGAACTACATACATTAAATAAATATATGACCATAACTTGAAGGATATAAATAGTTTTATTGCACATTATAAAGATGCAGTCTAAGTAGCAGATCCATTGTATTACATATTTACAAAAGTTAAAAAAATAAATTAATAGGAAAAATCTATGAATACAATATATTGTTGGTTTATTGTATAACAGTCAAAAAGTACATTGATTGAGCTAAACTTTCAAATATGTTTTTGTGAATTTCAATGTTCAAGACTTAGTGATTTCAAAGAGGGAAAATTCATCAAAGTAAATAATGATTTAATTGTATTCTTTTTCGAATAAACCAACAATATATTTAATTCATGATAAAGCTTGTATTTATTGTACAGAATCGATATTTAAAAAAAAAATACATTTTAAATGGAATGCTAGGAATAATAAAATTTTTATTTACATTACTGAATATACATATCAACCACTTCAATCGACCTAAGATATAACTAGAAGGAAAAATAAATGTACAATTACATATCATAAATAAATTAAGCATATTTACAAAAGCAAAGAGCGATTAGATTTACAATTGATTTTTTTTTTTTACAATTGAATCAAAAGTAAAATTTTAGACGGGTAAACTCTTTGATACAGAACTGGCAACAGCTGATGAAAAGAGTTTAGTAAAAAACATAAGACCAGTATGGCCACCTGGTATGTAACTGAGGAGGAACCAAAGCAAAGCAATAAATTGGATCATGGCAAAAAATACAGTAAATGGCGTACTTTGTTGAAATAATGCAAAGTACAAGGTCGCAAATAAACTACCTAAATAACTAAGAGTAAAACAAAGTCTTTCTCTTGAGAAGAGGTGTCGCAAATGATGTAAAGGCCCCCAGAGGAAAGAAAAACTGAAACATTTAAGGAAATATACAGAACATTAATTAATAAATAAGAGTAATAAAAAATGAGAACTAATATATGAAGGGTCAAGTGGTTATAGGTCGATAAGCAACATTCTTTGAGTTTTAGAAAAATGAATCCGCCCACACATGACCTTTCATAAATAAAATCATTATTTTTGTATTATAGAATTTAATTACTGAAAAAAATGTTCTAGAAAATTTTATCAGTGTTTCAATGATTATTGATATAATTTGCAATGAAATGTAAAGATTGTGAGCTATGCATACACACAAAAAAAATTACTTTAAGTCAATTTTTTACATGGTTTTTCCAGATGTGTAGTACAAAGTATAAGTTACCTAATAGCACTGTAAAATTAAATATATAGTATATGGAATATTATAATGCTCAATAAACAAAATTTTATTAATGCATAAATAAAAAATTATACATCTTAAGATACACTTGGACTTGTACACGCATTTAATTTCCTGACATTACTAGAAAAGTTAAGTAAAATTTATTGCCATATATTGAGCATTTAGAGAGTCTAGACCTCCTAAATCTGCTCTAAGCAAATTCTCTAATTTCTTAAGTCCATAGCCAGATAAACAAACTTTACTCAACAAACATATTGTCTCCTTATCATTAATATTACGGATATATACAAGTAATAACTAATACCTGCAGATAAGGAAAAGACTGCCCATTGTATACAAAAGAGAAAATTTACGGGCCTTTAAAAATAAAACTGGTATATACATGGCAGCAAATGTAAAGCATAGAACACCCATGAAAATACAAATACAGAATCCAACAATTCTCTGGAATCTAGTCTGAAAAATAAATAAATCTGTATTAGAGAGGAATAATAGAGAAATGAATTTCAAAATCCATTATTTATGTTTGTAAATTTATAGAATTGATATATTCTATATATCTCAACCATTTAAGGTAAGCACTCTTTAGGCCAATAATAACTTGGCATTAAATTGATTTCAAGAAGAGTGATTAATAGTGTATTAAAAAAAAAGTAATAACCATTAAAAATCTAATTTTAATAAAAGTCTAGCAATTGTAATGTAAAGAAACATACTGGAACCAATTTGATTAATTTTAAAGATAAAGTATGCCTGAATATGTACATAAATACAAAATAACCGACAATAAAAATCTTGATTGACAGCAAAAATCTTTTAGTCTAAAAGAGAGGTTATTGAAAAATAGTTTTGCAAAACTTTTAGATAGGTGGTAATAATATGTATAAAGAAATGTTTGAAAATGGCCAAGGAAACAAATCGCAACGAATATATGATATAAATAAATGAAAGTTTTTTAATTTTAACAAAGAAATTTTTATTTGCTTGTGTATTTTGGAATGAAAAAATGGGTCATAAGATTGTTAATTATTAATTAACTATTATAAAAGTATGGTTTTTCAATGAAACATCATTATAAATTTCAATTTAATTCATTTCTCACAAAAATTGTTTTAAGTTACATCAAAACCATATATCCTCCCTTCTGTTTGTTCTCATTTTTTGTTAATATACCTTAGGCACAACTGTGATCTATATAAAACTATGATATAGTATTTTATTTTTTATTTATTTCACCTTTGTACAGTTATAAATAAAAGTATCTGTATTTTGGTACACATAATTTTCTACTGACATTTTATTTTATCATACCATTCCCCCTCTTTCTGTCATTGTTATCTCCTTTATATCTTTCTTGACAATTCCCTATTTTTCCAATATTCTAGCTTGTACAGGAAATTTTTTTTTCAATCCTCTATTTCATGCCATCATAATTAAGTTGCCAAACTATTAACCTCAGATTTCCACATTAAATGAAATATTCTTTTCATATCTTATTTTTTTTGGGCTAATAATACTAATATAATTATGCTGGATTCTTAAGGTGCCCACGACTGTTTTTTAGGAAATACATCTTTTTTTCCTGTTCAGTTTTTGACACAGCTTTTGTAATGAGAACGTAAATAATCAAATTTTTTTTTGGGCATAACTTAATTGTTATAATATTATTAAATCAGAAGAAACTAAATACTGCAGATTCCTCACTAAGCTTCCTTAAAAAGGGGAGGAAAAAAACAAAGCCTCAGATCTGCTAATGGTGCTGGTCCGGGATTACTTGTCATGAAATGTTTGAATGTTAATATATTGAAGAATTAAGTTTTCCAATGTTAAATATAAATTTGGTACTTTGAACTAGTGAAGAATGCGGTCGGGATGTACCGGTTAATGTTATGAACATATCATGATGTTATAAACATCTGCCAATGTTTATAACCTGAACACTGATAATTCTGATAAGGCAGTGATAATTCCTATCTTCAAATACATATTTAAGGAAATTGCAATAGACAAAAACAAATGTAATAATAACAAAACACTTTTATTTCACAACATAAATAAATATAAAACAAATTTGTTTTAAATGTTATACAAAATACAACATAAACACTTAATGCATGCAAAGCATACACGTTTATACTTTATATAAACAACAAATGTACATATAAAACACATTTAATTTATTTTGACAGACAAATTAGCATAATGCTATTTAGAATAGCCAGGAATGGGTCCTCTTCACTGTGAGCACGCTGCCATCAAAATTCGCATAAATAGGAATCCAGGTGTTGCCTGACAGTTCCTCGATGTTTTTATATCGACATAGCTGAGCCCATAATCGTTCTATGTGTTGAATATGGACCCTATTTGAAGGATCAACAAAGTTATACCGGTGATTCATCTGGAAATGATTACAATTTGCTTCATTTAATTGTTGGCTGTTGTATCCTTTCCAACAGTCGGAATAAATGGTGCTTCTCTCTTCTATATTATTTTAAAAATATATTCTAATATAGTTGTTACCTTGCTCTCCTTTATTTTTACAATGAAACACTCATCTGTTTCTCGCCAAGCATCCATTGTTCAGGGAGAACTCTCTCTACATGATTTTTTCTTTTAGAAAAAAGACTCTCGTCTACTCCAACGACTTTGCCAGGCCCTCTAATTTTTTTAGTTGACCTGTGTAAAGTGAACTCAATAGTATAGAGGCTAGAATCATGCTACTCTGATATGGTGAAGATAACCGGTTCCAACATATTCCTTTGCGGGAGAGATGGCAGAACGGGCTAACGTGTGTGCACAGCACTGCCATTTAAAAAAAAAAACTTGGCCTGTATAACATGTTATGGGCACAAACCTCTCTTAAAAATTTGTTCCACATTATCACACTTTTATTCAATAGTTTCAGATGCTCTTTGTCCTACTACATTACGGGGACGGTCATCGTCTCGAACCCTTAGGTTTGAGTCGTGTCCCTCATTGACTGCGGAGGTGCAGGCATCCTCCTGTACATCGGCAGGCAATGTAAAGCCGTAGCGATCTATTGATTGCGGAGCCTGAGACCAATCGTGCTCTGAGGTCAGGGAAGCAGCTTCCCGACCAAATTGGTACTACGGGGCGTCGCCGGAGCCCCGGCGGCGCTATGGGTGGACGGCGAGAGTGCTTGCACTGTTCGGCCGTGGCGGTCGTGTCGTTGTGTTTACGACTACTCGCTGCACGACACCAGTGTACAGATAGTCTTGGCGTTGTTCAGGCTATCTTCTGGTACAGTGTGTAGCGAGTGGACGGAAGTTATGGTAGTAGGAGTTGTCTTATTCCGTGGGCACCTGTTGTGTGCCTGCATTCTTTGTGGTGTACCCGGTCCGGGGAGTAAGGTTGGAGGCCGGTTAAGGCTAAAAACGCTAGGTATGGCTTCTAATCGATGCTCCCTTGGTCCATAGTGTACCCGATGGTACTCATGTCCTACTACATTATTGCTTGTTAAATTATGAGACTGCCCATAAATAAATTTTAAAGCCGTTGAAAAGGTAATCTTTGGCCCCTCAAACAACTCTTATAGATACATTTTTGTTACAACTGCTATGAAAGTATCTCCATTTGGTCTTCCTGCCAAACTTCATTTCATGACCTTCTTCATAGAATTTCACCTTTGGAATTATCCTGACCTTTTGAAAATGTTTGATAGCTTCATCTTCTGAAAACGGTAGTTCCCACAGTGTAATAATATCCATTTCAGATGACAAAATTAACAAAAAAAAAAAAAAGGAATAAATCACACGTAATAGAAGGATAATATCAGCTCACACGATAAGAAGGGAGATTAAGTGATGTAAGATAAGAAAGGAGTCTCCGACCCGACCGGATTGTTGACAAGAACCATAAATTGATGAACCGATTCCAATATATTATTCTAATGAATGCTGAAGGAGATGATGCTCCAAAAATCACCTGTACTTATTACTTTAAGTATTACAATGACTACAATTTTAATTTTTGAGTAAAAATATATGAAAAAAAATGTATGCACAAACGTTTTTACATCCATATTTATAAGATCTTGAACCACCCAATCACCATATTAGAGAGACGTTTTGGAACTATTAACTTTGTCAATATGTATTATATACATGCTTAGGCAATGAAAACCTGAATGATGCAGGAGAAAAAAATAATCGTTTAGCAAAAAATGGATTAAATGATATTTAGTTCATATAGCTGTTGTTTACAACATAGCACAATCTTTAGTTAATTCTAGAATCGTCATATCTTTGTACTCTAAACTAAGTTTCTATATAAAGTTCTGAGACTAGAATACTAAGGTTTTCATTGCCTTCCATACCATTAAACTATACGAATCTATAAATAAGATTTAAGCACCCATGTATTAACACATATTGCTGCTCGAAAAAAGGCACCGTGAATGTGAAAAACCTCAAAAGGTCATTTATTTCAAGTAAAATAAACATAAATTTCATTTTTAAAAATTTGAAATTTTCACTTTCCTGCTTTTGCCTTTGAAGTAGTGATATGATATCAGTAGATAGATTCCAATCCAATGAACTAAATATTACTAATACTCTTTTTAATTACCAGACCATAGTGAAACAGTACCTTTCATAAATGGATAAGCCTTCTGATGTAATCTTAAATAGTCAACATTTTGAAAACAAAATACTACTAAGTAATTCAATATGAAACAATACTACCTCCTGATTATGAATGTTTAACATTACATATATATATATATATATATATATATATATATATCATCTTTACATAACAAGAAATATAACAACTTAAATAAAACTTAATTATTATTGACATAATTCATCATAATACATACTAATGTGGGACAACAATCTTTTTGAGCTGCAGAAAACCAACTTTCAGCTTCATCGGTATGTTCATTTTTCCTAAACCAACTGCCGACTTTTGGCATGGACACAGAAACGGGTATAGAAATTCCATTGAGAAGTGGTTTTGAATCGCTGTTTTTAGAAGACAAATATTCATCTAACTCATCTTTCAAATTTGCCATTTTGTTTACACGTACATCATATCTGCCACCTTATCAGTCAAAGCTGCCATAATGTCTTGAAAATTTTGATTAAGTCATATTATCATCAATGTACATTCAAATTTTAAGTTAATAAATAATTTATTACTTTCCATAATAATTTATTATTTTCCGAAATAAATTTAAATCCTTCAGTTTCAGGATATTTTGTGCTATAAATTATATTACTAATAATAATATTAAGAAGCTTTTGGTGTTTTGGCGCGCTAACGTTTTTATTATTGTGTGCTTGTATTATGTGTTTTATATCAATATTTTTACTATTTTAATATATTGCTTCACCATCTCCATTAAACGTTTTATATTTTGTAAGTTTTGACACCGAAGGAAATCATTGGCGTGATATATTTATGATTAGCTGGCAATGAGTAATAATAAAATGGACATTAAAGAACACATACTTGTCAGAAAAAGGTCTGTGTATTTTGATAAGTTAACTTTATTTCTGGAATTAAACTTAATTAATAGATATTTTATTGTTCCATATAGAATATTTGAGGAAGAAGTTAGAGTGTATCAAGGCCCTGATCCTCTGAAACTTAGATATGACTTTTTGCAAGCTCTCGAAAGTTATGATAAAGAGCTAATTAATGACATATATTCTTCAGTTTTGGAGGATACTCTCAGATCATTTATGGAGGAAGCCGTTTATAAGCAAGACTTAAGATTTATACATCTTTGGTTGGCCTATGTATAATAATTATTTGATTCATTATCAATTTATCTTTTTAGATAGTTTATGGTTTATCTTTAATTATTGTGTGTGTGTGTTTATTTTAGTCCCATACTCAACCAAATCCAGTTGTTATTTATGAGAATATGTTTAGTCGTGGGCTAGGAACTGAATGTACTATTTTGTACGCTTCATGGGCAGAACATTTAATGAAGAATGGACTGGTTTCTAATGCAGACAAGATTTTTAAAATGGGACTTTCAAATGATGTAAAACCTAAAAGTGATCTTCAGAAAGCATATGAGTAAATCAATTTTTCCCTAGTTTGTTTTTTAAGATATATCATTTTGTAAACTAATTTTCTTATTTTGGTTACAGTGAATTTCTAAAGGAAATTGGTAAAAGATACCTATTGGGAGAGCTGACAAATTGCCCTTCTTGTGGTCAGCCTGGGGTATAATATATGTGCCTAATCCTATGCTGCTGTACCAGCCTTATTAAGTTGATATTTTCAAAATGTTTAATGTTTTAGGTGACAACAGGGAATTCCATCAACACAGCTAAGGTGGAGTCTTCAGCTGATGTTGAAGGTATCATACAAACTTTTTTTTTCATTTCTTTTTCTTGGCACTTTAAAGGTGTTCGTAAAATTTAAAGATGATTGTATTTTACTTTTTATGTTTGTTATTTCATCTTTAAATATATTATTTTTTTTTAGTTTGGGAATGGAATCCTTTAAAAGTTGGAGAAAAAGATGACTTCACTTGCCCTATTGCCTATTTTGAAGATCCTGATCCAACAAAAATAAGAATGTACCCTAAAGATAAAGTACATGATATTTTATGTTTCTTTTATATTGTTCTTGTTTTAGAAAATTAATACTTGTTATTATTACTTTTTTTGTTTAAATTAACTTTCAGGCTAAAATATTCTCCTATAATTTTTTGTTTTAATCTAGATTTCAGTGTGATAAAACTATATATTTTTTATGATGGAACAAACTGCTTGCATACTTTTTTTTTAGTATGATTTATGTTAACAACAGCAGAAAAGGAGACTTTTTTGTCGAGTTTTCAATGGTTTGGTTTGTCGTTTTAATCATCTTGAAAAGTTTTTGGGGGGATTGGGGATTTCAGAAAATTATTTAATCTCTTTGGCAAATATATTTTTAGCATTTAGGAGTTTTAATCCCAAAAGAGAGAGAGAGAATCACTTTATTATCATAAAAGGGTGCTGCCCAATTACATTGGGTTGCTTTAAACACTGCATACTTATTAATCGCTACAGACAATTTTCCAAAACTAATATACAATTATATAGTATTAACAACATGTATGAGCATAATATACAATTTTTTTTTTTTTATCTATATATATATTTATTTTTTTTTTATCATAATTTCTTTTTCCCTATATTTTTATTTATTTTTTTTATTTATTTATTTTATTTTTACTATTTCTTTCATTCATTTATTAGCATTATACATCCCTTTCTGTTCCTTCTCTCACTCTATACATTTTTCTGGTTCCCTAGATTTTCTCCTCTCTTTTCCTAACCTAATTCATAGCATGCATACAAATACATAAAGTGCAGTGGATGTGGTCAATAAACAATGTAAAAATGCTGTAAAACACGCATGCCTCGCCTCCATGAACAAACTCTCTCTACAAACTCTATCCATGCACATGGTGATGGATAATTCCCAGGGAGTCAAGGATTATATTCTCTGCCAACCTTGCCACGTCCTTTATGTCGACACCAAGGCCCTCCATGAAGCTCCTTGTTGAGTCTGGTATCGTTCCGCGAGCTCCGAACCAAAGGCCTCTCACGTGGAACTCTCTCGGCCCGAAACTCTCGTGGAACTTTTCACTAAGGAAAGGAATGCATTTCTCATATGTATGTTTTTCTCCCTTTCCACTTTTCCTGCCACCTGCAATTGGTCCATTCCTCAAACGAATTTTCTCGAAGCGACTGCCGTAGAGCTCTCATATTCCGAATACCCCGATCAACCCCCAATCTCTCGTCACATTCATCAACCTCAGCTGAATAATCAAAGATCGACTGAAAAAGGGCATCGGGCACATTGGACAGTCGCTGAGCAATGGACCAATGTTGTAGAGGAGCCTCCCATATCATAACATTTTTTATGTTTAATTATTAGGTTGATTATTTGTTAATATTTATACTGTTCGAATTAAATAAAAACTAATGAAATAGTTTTGTTATAATAGGTTTATCCGGGACCTGGTCAAGAGTTCAGTTTAGAAGAAATAAGGGCAGAAATATATAAATTAAAATGTAAGTTATTGATTTTAGATTGTCAGCATGTAAAAATTTCTAAAGATTAACATGACAAGGTTGTTAATTTTTCTATCACTATTTTCTAGGTTAAGTTTAATTCTTGTCAATTTTAAATAAAATTGTTGAGGCCACTGCTTTTAATATATAAGTTAGAGATAGATTTAAATTTATCTAGTCGACTATTATTTTGGTTACCACCAGTACAATGATAGGAAAAATCTTAAGAATAATAACTTCAAAGATACCGTACATTTAATACTGTTGTGGATAATGATGCATTTATTACTAATCATAGTATAAAAACCTGAAACATTTCAGTTTATTAAAAAAAAAAAAAAAAAAAAAAAAAAAAAAAAAAAAAAAAAAAAAAAAAAAAAAAGAAATTGTTAATGTCAAATAAAAGTTTTGGTTTTACAGTACGATTTCTTAATTTACAGAAGTACTCAGGATGTTATATAAACAATACAACAAATCTCTGAGAAGATTTAGAATATGATAAGTCCTTAAATGCTTTGTGGATTTGGTTAAATCCAATCAGAAAGTTTAACATCACGAAGGAAAATAATGAAGGGAAGCTCAGAAAGGGCTGACCAGGGCTAGAGAGAATCTTGTGCAACTACCTTTTAAAGCAATTTTAAAATCTCTTAAGGCATAACACAAGGTCGTAATTCTAAGCCTGCCATTGTTCATATTGATTCTTGGTTCATAGAAAGATTACGTCAAGGAGACCTTGCTGCCTAATAAATAGGAATTTTAATTCCTCTCCACTACACCATGCTCTCACAAATTCAGATGACATTACATCGTGTTCCTTACAATAAGAGAAATCTCTAGTTTAACTTTCAAATGCTTCAGGAAGTACCTAAGCCAATCAACTTGAAAATAAAATGCAAAATGAAGATAGAAAGGCGAATTAATTGAGCATAAGACGACCAATGAAGATGGTCAAGCTGATAAAGCACTTATATCATCTATAGCCCTTCTAACTGAGTGGGGCTGAATAGATTAGTACAGCAGGAAGGTACTATGGATCTCTATAAAGAGGTTTCCTAGGAAACAAACAGTCCCTGAAACTGCAGTGGAATAGAGGGATTTCGGTATGACAAAGAAGTTATTTGATTTTCATATTACATATATAGGCAACTTGCCATCATTATCCACTTCTTCACTATTTTATAAGAAATATATATTTTTTAATTCTCACAAGAAACTTATTTCTCACTGTTATCTCTATTCTTTCCAATTTTCTTTCTTTGTTTTATTATTTTTATTTTATTTTTAATTAGATGAAGTAGAAGAAAAACAAAAAAAATTGGCAGAAATGAAAAGTAAAGAAGATGAAGCAAGGAGAGCAAGAGATGAACAAAGGAGAATTGAAGCAGAGAAAATGAAATTTGATACAATGACAGAATTGAACCCTCCAGTTCAAGCATCCATTCCGATATTAACTCCAAGCATGTTTAATGTACCTAAGGTATTTTTAATATTTGTTTGCTTCTTTAGGTTCTGTAATCATTTAATTAATGTATAATCTGAAAATTCATTTATTTTAGGACAGTGATGTCTCATTGGCTAATGGTTCTACATTCACTGTTCATACGAAAGAAGCAATGAATGTTGTACAAGATATGTGGAGTAGCCCAGCGCCTAGTGGTAAGATTTTAGAGTTATCTTGTTATAAATATATTTAAGTTGTCCTTTATTTAAGTATTTTGTGCAGCTATAGAAAATACCAAATGCTGACCAAAACTAATTATTAAACAATCAGTATGGAATGTCAGCTGCTATAAGAAAATGTATTTATAACATTCTTTATATTTATAACATGAAAGTTTAAAATCAAAGCTTGCTTGTGATTACCTAGTAATAGAAAGGAAACTGTTTTTTCATTATTCTCACTACACTAGTAGAATACTATTAGTAATTAAGAATGTTCATATTTTTTTAATAGCAGTTTTATAAATATCATTTTTCTTTAAGCCAATTTGATTCTAAATAAAGTTTACTTAATTTGTAACCACCTAACCACACATAGAAGGCACAATACAGAAATATTCAGAAAAGTAAGATCTTCAAAATTAATATTTTATTGAAGGAGGCGTCCGCAGGTTTACTTTTACAAGGTGTACCAGAAGTTGTTGTTTTTTTTCATGTTTTATGACTAAAAGTTTTATAAAGTTTATTTATTTTCCATGATGACTAACAGGTTTTAAATAAGAAAAAGATAAAATCTAATAGTGCTTATAAGTTGAATTTACTTTATTGATAAATTAGTCAACTTGATTTACATTTTAAATAAAAGTTCTTTTTTTTTTTTTTTTCAGAAGTACCACCTAGGCTTATTTATCAAACTAATATTCCTGAAGAAATGGCTGATGTTGCTTCTAAACCGCAGCCTCAGTTTCAAATATTTTCTGATGCTGATGCACAACAGCAACCTGCTCCAAAACAACTTTTTCAAATCTACGATGAAAATGCCGAGAATCCTGTACCAGCAAGCAATCAGCCTCTTAAACCGAAAGTTCCGTTTGATATTTATGACGAAAATGAACCACCTACAAAACTAGCTGCTGCACAGTCTGCAAAACAATCTTCTGCTCTCAAGCCTAAAGTGCCTTTTGAAATATATGATGAAAATAATACTCAATCTCACAAAACACCTCTTAATCATAATAGAATTAGTAAACCTGATGCCAACAATGTAGGGAAAAATGAAAACCCACATGACGAGAGGAACGGTCGTTTGAGATACAAATTATTTAATGATACAAATGATGATCTGGCCGAGAAAATGGAAACGCAGGCCAAACTACAGCCTATGTTTCCTGTTCAGGTATTTTGCTTGTTTAACTATTGGACATGTTCCTCTGGGATATTAGTTTATTAGGTGATGCTAATAGTATTTGTAATTTTAGGTTAAGCATGATGATTTTGAGGATGTTACATGTAATACAAAAGCATTTGAATTTGTTCTGCCATCTTCTACTCCTTTTTCAAATCATAAAAAACCTATTATTAGGTAGGCACTATCTATTATTATTTATTTTTTCTATTATATATAACTTAACAAATATGGTTCTTGTTATACTGTGAAAAATTTAATCATTGCTGTTTTATAGATATGTATGTTTCATGTACAATAAATTTTATTTTAGTACTCAGAAGACAAACAGTGATGACACTTTGTTAAAGAAAACACCTCAAGGGAATGCAAATTTGAGTATGATATTGGAACAGAGTAAGGAAAGGTATAGCTGTTCTTCGACAGACAGTAGTTCTTCACAAGCTTTAAAAACTCCCAAATCTGGTCCTGTTATTTCAACTGGTTTGTAATAGTTGCTTTTTTAATGTAAAGTATGGGGTCCTATCGGAACATGTATTATGAATTATTTATCAAAATAGAAAACTGATTTTTACTTTCACTTACCTATATATGTAATATATAGTAAGGGAAGGTATTGTGATCATGAAAATTTTTGAATCTGAGTTTTCAACGGAAATACACATTTTGAGGTCCCCTTAGTCTGAATAATCAAGTTCTGCGAAATGATCTGTGTGTATGTGATCAGTCTAGCTCAAAAACGAGAAGTTGTACAAAACTGTTATTACGTATTTAAGATAGGTATATGCCTTAAATGTGACAGCAAATTTTTTCTTAAAATCGGCTAACCGGAAGTGCCACTTTATATCAACACTGAAACATATTTTTACAATTTTCTCAAAAACGGCTGTAATGATTTTGATCAAACTCAGTCTACCATTTTATAATTAAGTGGTATTTAATATCATTTAGGTCTTATCCCCATTGATGTCAGCCTACAGGGCTAAATGCTGAAATGTTCAACATGTCATCCTCTAAAGTAGCTTTCATTTGGTTTATTTTAGATAATTAGCTATCTCACATTATTAAGAGTTACGAAAAAATGCGAAATTTAACTTACAATAAAAGTGATTTATTATTTGACAATGATTTTTTAACTGTTTTTGCGACCAAATGATTAAAAGAACCAAATTAGAAAGATGTTTTTATAAAAATATTTAACTTTTCATTAACATGAAAAAAAAAAATCAGTTTTCCATTTTGATTGACGATTTAACTTATTTTACAACCAAGATTTGGTTTCAACCTTTTTCATTATATATTTTTTTTATTTTATTTGCATATTTTATTATTATTTTTATGTATCTTTATTTCTATCAGTGATTTATTTGTTATACTAATTTTAGTTCCAGAAGATTTTGATCCGTTCCATGCTGAGGTTTTAGAAAATCTTCTAAATAAGGTTGGATTTCCTAAGCAGCAGTATGCACATAATTTATTCTTCAAAACTTCGAATGTTCCAAATTTTTCAAAAAGTATCAAACTAGGTAATGTCTTTTATCAATGTGATTTATGCACTTTTATTTGTTTATATTTTTTTTTTCCTTGCTCTGATATTCGAACCTTTTATTTTTTTAGGCGATGACTCGTACTCAATACAGGGTGAGATTGGTAAAGGGGCTTATGCTAGAGTCATGAAGGCTACTAAAGGAAACAATACTGTAGCCTTAAAAGTTGAGAAGCCTGCATGTAGATGGGAATTTTATATTGCAAAGGAGATTCAAACCAGAGTTCCACCAAAATTGGTCTGTTTTGCGTATTATATTATATTTTAATTATGTCTTAAGTGCTTATTTATGTATGTTTAGAAGCATCCTTGAGAATAGTTAGCCTTTCTCTATCAAAACATTACATATATTGAATAGCAATGCATTTATATTTTATATTTATTCATAATATCAATGTACTATAATTCATTCATAATACTAAATCTAATAATACTTTCTATTTTTATCTATTTAGGTATATATTTTACTTTTTGTGTTATAAATATAAATTGAAAGCATTCACTTGTATTCTACTAATTAACTGAACTATAAACATGATAAATACATTTGAAATGATTAATGAAAAAAAAAATATTAAATTCATTGAACCCCACCATGTATTAATTGTTTGAATTAGATTGTTATGTATATTATAGGTCACATAAACTTTTTAGTTTTGGTGATAGGTCTTAGTCCTAAATTTAGGAAATCCTTATTTAAATAATTTTAATATAAAGTATGTTTTTTATGTTTGATATCCTGTTTCATAGAAGTAAACTTAAGTAACTGGCATTTAGGAAATTTCATTTTAGATCTAGAACTTTTTTCTTATTTTTTTCTCAAATCATGTTTTATATCTATCTTGCATGTTAAGTAATTTAAAAACAGAAAATATAAAATTTTAATTTACAAATCTGTTAAAACTAAAACCAAATTTATTCTCTGCATTGTTTTCGTCTTGCATACAGAACAATTATTTGCTGATTTACTAGTTTATTAGGAAAAAATTGTTATTTTTATTAAATATCAGAAAACGAATAGTTTAAAGTTAATTGATGTTTTCTGTTTTTAGGCCATATTATTTATGGATATTCCTGAAGCTCATATTTACAACAATGGAAGTATACTTGTCACCCAGTGGGCAAAACATGGCAATTTGTTGCATATAATAAATGCCTTTAAGGAAAAGACAGTAAGATAATTTTTTTATGTTTTTACTTTATCCAGGTGTGTTAATGTTTTTCCTTGTATAAACTTTCTTTTTGTCAATGCTTAAAGAACTATAATCATTTCATTATATTATCAGTTGTTCTTATTATTGTTTATAATATTGAAATTCTGGACTGTTTCTTTTTTAGGGAAGATCATTAGAGCGAGGTGTTGTTTTTCACTTTGGTGTCGAACTCATCGATATCGTAGAATATCTTCATAGAGCTAAGATAATTCACGCTGACCTAAAACCAGACAATATTGTTATACGGGAGCTGTAAGTATTTTATTTATTTATTTGTTTTATTATGAGTTATAAATAGTATAATAAGTACTAATTTTGTATCAATTAAGCTAAATAAACATTTAAAGTTGACTTTTTAATATGTTTGTTTTTGGTTAAAAAAGTAAAAACACAAACACAGTATACCTTGATAATCAATTATTAACAAAAACAAAAATTGATCATAACAGCAAATATGTTATATATAAAGCCAGTAAAGGTTTTAATAAACAAAGTGTTATACATTTTGTGTTTTTATTTTGAACTAATGAATTTCTGGTCCATTAGAGTTTGTTGTAATGATTTACTGTCTTAATAATCAAGCCAACTTTCCTTTGATTCCTGTTTATACTATTTTTCACTTTTTACATTATATAAATATTTTGGAGTAGTACTTTATTCCTTTCTTGAAAAATATTTGTCTATAAATGTCTCCACTCCTAATTAGTTTTTAAATTAAACATTCTTAATTTTCAAAAACATGTATTAGTTAAAGTTTTTATTATTTTCTAACGAAAAATTCTAGTTTTCGATTGAAAAAGTTGTTATATTGATAACAAAATATATTTTTTATAGAAAATACTATCCCTTAATTAATACCAGTTATTGATCATCATATTTAATTTATGGACAACTTGTATTTTGTTTTAGCCCTGACCACAATGAAACTGAGCCATGTTTACAGCTGATAGACTTTGGTCGTTGTATAGATATGAGCCTTTTGCCTCCAGAAACAAAGTTCAATTCCGTTTTCAAAACTGAAGATAATCAGTGCAATGAAATGAAAGAAAATAAACCTTGGACCTATCAGGTTTTTATTTTATCTTTATTTTAATAATATAGAACTTTTGTAATATTATAAAAAAATTCTCAAATTAATTTGTAATATATATTTGCTAGTTTTACTGAAAGCTTAAACGCTTAGAAGATTAATAAATCCTTAAGACTGAACAATCTTCTCCTAATAAAACTTTTATTTTTTAATTGAATACTTGACGGATGACCGTTGTATATTTTTGAAGAAGGAGATAGTCCTGTGTGGCGGTCATAAAAAGACTAAAATAGAGGGAGGGAACTATTTTATTTCAAGCCAACGTTTTGAACAGACTTTGCATTTTCAACGAAACGGCTGAAAAAGGCGGGTCGAAACGTTGGTTTGAAATAAAATATTTTTTTTTATCACTATTTTAGTCTTTTTATGATTTTATTTTTAATGTGTTGGCTATACAGTCATCTTCAATTTTATGGAACATGGAATGGTTAGCTTCTCATAAAAACAACCGAGTTCACCTGTAGATGACTGGAAAACTTAAACATTTAAAATAAAAGAGTATTATTGGTGAGGTTTATCAATCTGAATAATTTAAAAATATATAGGAGTCTGGTAAGTAGAGGGAAACATAGCAGATTTCAAGATATACAAAAAAGTTTATACAAATAATGGTCCAATTTTCAGCAGAAAGGTAGGAAATAAAGGTTTTTTTTTTTGATTTTTTTAATCATGTTTTTTGTTGTGTAGGGAGCGATAACTAAAATAAATATTTAATTTAAGTAATTAGCTATTGCTCCATTGTAAACAAAACACAATTTACTTCAAACGAAACAAAAGTTTGTCATTGTTAATACGATTTAAAGAGGACTTTTGAGAAGATAAACTATGCAAATTTAAAAAAAAAAAAAGTAATTCTGAATTATTCACAATTCGTTTTGTAATCCTCCAACTGTATTACAGATACCTCACTTTTAGGGAAACTTCTTTGTTTAATGAGCTTTAGGCCCATATTAATTAAGTTGGAATTTGTTATGGGATGTTTTGAGATTCATCTTTAATTATATATAAATATGAGGTGATGTAAATACCCTATCACCTAAAAGTAGCTGTGTTTTCAGTAAAATTGACTACATTAAATTATTACAAAGCTTTAATTTTTGTTCACCATTACTTTGGGATGTATTATAATAAACATACAGCATGAATACATTCTATTTTTTTTTTTTAAATGTTAAAGATAGTATTTTTTTTTTTAATATTTATCGTCTAAAGGAATAATTAAGAGAGCGGGGTAGCTCAGTGGTAGGGCATTGAGCTTCCGATGCTAAAGGTCCCAGGTTCGAATCCTGGCTCATGGCAGAAAAATTATTTATTCTGTTTCATTGGCCTTGGGGCAACCCTGGGTAGTTAGACCCTCCTGGCGCACACCCAGCCTCTATATAGTAGGTACTCTTAATTAAAATAATTAATTAAGGGGGAAAAGCTGGCGGATGAGCGTGATCTCGGTCAAATCACCATTGACCGATCAAATAACCTACTTGCACAACCGTAGACCAAGAAACAATGCTTTCCCTAAATAGTACCGAATCCAAGTCCCTTCTTGGGTTGTAGTGGTACAGGTAAAGGAATAATTAAACTTCTTTTTACCAGGATATCTATTATAAGAATAGTTCCGAATTTATAAGTGACCGACTAAATGTTTTTCTAACCTTATTATTTATTTTTAAAATAAAGAAACCTAAGCGCTTGAATTATTTTAACGAATATGTAAATATTAAGGTTAGAAACATTTAGTTGCTCACTTATAATATACGGATCGATTCTTAAAAAAGTTTTTTAATAATCACTTCCTATTCACAAAAAACATGACCTAAAAAAGCACGAAACTTTAATTTCCTTGTTTATATAAACTTTTTTGCCGATCTCTGTTATCAGCCCTATAGGTATTTTCCTTTCCTTACAGAACACTGTATACTCTATACTAATTATTCCTCCCTTAATCTTAAACAAACTTAACTACAAAAAAATATTTCTTCTATGAAATTTATTTTTAATTCTCTATTTTTGTTGTAACCTCCACTCTTATAAGAACCATGACTTGTAAACAAATAGTTGAAAGACTTTTTTTTTAATTAGTCATTTTTACTTTTTCAGATTGATTTGTATGGTCTTGCGAACATATTTCATTGTCTATTATTATCAGAATACATGCAAGTTGTAAAAAAGAACGATAAGTGGACATTGCAAAAACAGATCCCCAGGTGAGTTTAGGAAAAATTATATTTTAATTAAATTAGAAACAACAGGAATGTAGATAATTTAACCACCCTTAAAGACAAATATTATTGCATTATTTTAGAGACGTCATAGTTATTCTGATTTCTATCTTCATTGTTCTAAGCAACTTTGTTTTATCTAAAGTATGAAATCCAATGATTATTCTTCTGTTGTTATGGATCATTTTATTTCAATGTATTTAGTTTGGCTTAATTATTTTTTTTTTTTTAACTTATTTATTGAAAAATATTACAATCTGTCTCTAGGACATTTATAATAGAGTTCACAGATCGCATTCACACTCTGTGTACAATAAATAAAATAAATTATACAGAAAAATAATATATATACAATAAATAAGAATAAAATAACCTAAAAAGAACACATACACACCTATGGCTTAATTATTCTAAAATTCTAGTGTTAGTTTAAATTTAATTGCACCAGTAAGTAAATCATTTTCTTTTAGGACATTTGAACATTCCTACTAAGTCATTAACTTTGCTTGTGTCTCCATAGAAGAAGTAGTCAAAACTTTTGACTGTATGTCGAATTATGGGTTCAATTCACCCTGATTGATAGGATTGCTTTGTAAAAATTGTTTAAGCTGTATTTAGTTTAATTAGGAATAGTTATTTTATTTTGTTCAGTCAGTTTTGATAAATATCTGAATACTTGTAACAGTATAAATTTATTTAAGATTTAATTATATTATAAAAATCTTTACAAGAATATAGTTCATTCAATTAAATGAAATTCTTGACCAATTAATTTGTTTGGTCTTACTGTTCAGGTTGACCAATCTAATATCAATTACTATTTTTACAGAAATATGAGGAGAGAAGTTTGGAATCCAATTTTTGAAACATTACTCAATGTGAATCCTGCTACAGATTTGCCGATGAACTTCAGTTCAATGAGAACGTTGTTAATAGAAGCCTTTGATTCTACATTACATCCATCAATACAGAGCCTTATAACATTCAAAAATTATATCACAAACAAATAATGGTTCGATTGTTAGATATCCTCCCAATTGTTATCATTCCCATTCTGTAAATTATGTACAGTTTTATTTTTTATTTTTATATTTTAACATATTTTAATAAATAGATATTTTTACATGTGGTTTGTGTTTTAATTTATAGAGTGTATGTATACTTTAACTTAAAAGAAATGTAATGTGTAATAAATTCAAACCGTTTATTTAAAATCGAATACATTGTTATTGAAATTGAATTTTTGTTTTTTATATTTTCCTAGATTAACCTAAAACAAATGATTCTTATTTTCCTACATCATTATTTTGTCATAATCCATCTTAATATAATATATTTCATCATTTATTCGAAATAGGAAAACTGAAGATTCCTTCATTGATGTTAAAATAATATGTATCAAGTACATTTTAAGTTTGAAAGTAAATTGCAAAACAAATGTATCAGGTTCTTCTGGGATATATTCAAGTCTTTAATAGTATCAAATTGAAACTTTAACAAAGCCAATTTTAATTTTAAAATGTATATTGATGATCTTTAGTTAATGAATTCATTCATTATGGCACAACAGATCCATGTAGCGGTCCTTGGCCTGCTCAATTTCCTTTGCCCAGTCATCCCTGTTGGCTGCGCACCTGATGGATATTCCATTTTTTCTTAGGTCTTCTTTTATGTTATCTATCCGTCTTGCCTTCGGTCTTCCCCTAGACCTAACTCTCTGGCTTCCCATGAAGCCTTCTTGCTGTCCTCGCTTCATCCATTATTAGGTCATGTCCTAACCATTTCATTTGCTGCTCTCTAGCAAATTGAGAGATAGACAGATCACTGTACATTGACTATACCTCCTTGTTTGTTCTCAAGTGGGGAACTCCTTCCTCCATTTTAGGTCATATTATCCCTCTTAGTATTTGTTAATTACTAAGGATAAATTATGCATTTCATTTCAAAACTGGTTCAGATCATCAAACATTTTATAGGAGACACCATTTACATGAAGTTTGATCTAAGTGACCACATGAATTTGAACCCATTTTTATTATCAGACAAAAAAACTTATGATCAAAAGAGCTTTGGTAAATGATGCACATTGAGAACTTGTGACAAATAAAATTAAGTACGATTTTATGGAAAAATATATTAATAAAATGTTAAATAGCTATTGCAGAAGGATAACTTTTATGGAAGATACAGCAATGAATGATAAATTAAAATATTTAGATTCTGAAAATTCTTGTTTGATAGTAGAAATGCTTAGTATTAAATATTTCATGTATGATTATAGAATATTCTCTACTATATCAACATTTTTAACATATAATTTGGATTATCAACTCGACCATGTATTAATTGTACAAGAGTAAAAAAAAAGTTCATAGATTTTATGAAAAATGTTAATAACCTGTGTCCTAATTATAAAAGCATGATATATCAATGATGGAGGCCGAATCAGAGGAAGAGAAATTCAAATTAAGGCCTTGCCAATTAGGATATATTTGTGAATATTTCCAAATAACCAAGTCTCGTTATGGTTTAATTACTATTTTAGTTTAATTGTTAATCAGTATTTCTGAATTTTATTTTCTTGAAGTTAGGAAAATATTTTGATTAAATCATTTATTTTTATCATATCCATTTATGAACAATTTTACTACTGAGATAGGTATATTTTCTCTTGAACCATCACCGGTACAAAAATTCGTTAGTGATAATTATGGAATTAGAAAACATTCCCACATGTCATAACCTGACTGCATCCTTAGTACTGCCATTCATTATATATAATTTGAACGGATTCTATTAGAGTTATTTATAATGCACGTGCCGAGAGACAGCTTAGGAAGGTCAGTTCTGGTAGGACTTCCTTTGCCAACTGTCACATGCTTGGTTTTGAAGGCACGTTATGGATTGACTCTTCTCTCAATCCGAAAGTTATTTTTACTAACCTTCCATCAGTTCGAATTAAAAGGATATTTTGAGGATCCCTCAAAAAGTTGATACAAATTAATGAAAAACTGGATTATACCAAGTCCGTGCGAGTACAGACTCCAGTTCAAACACGATTATCCGTAAATACCAACTGTGACGTAAAGAAGTCCGCCTACATATCTATTTATCTTCAAAAAGCTGCAAATTTCATAACGTTATTAATTTAGATGAAACAATAATAATAAATAGTGCAATTGCCAAAAATTATAAAAATACTTAGTCTTGAATAGATATTTTTTTTCTCTCGTCGGCATCTCTGGGAAATGGGATATGGCCCCTCCAATTCTCCCTTAGTTACGCCACTGATCACTAGCAGATCTAGGAATTAATTTTTTTTTTTTTTTTTTTTTGGAGGGGGCCTTCAGCCCGAAGGATTTTTTTTCACTTATATAACGATAATTAATTTGAAAATAAAAATAAAGTAACTAACTACTCATATGACATGATGTGTTAGTGATTCTTGAAGTCCTATTAAATGTAATTACACGAACAATAATAGTTTAAGAGATAGTTTTAATATTTTTTTCTATAAAACATGGTTATGTTTTAACCAATTGGGGAGAGAAAGGGGGAGGAAGTTCAGCCAGAAAGTCCCTCCCCTGAAGATTCGTGTGTGCCACTGATACAGTATCAATTTTAACAAGTCACTCCTCCTACATTTGCTTAAGTATGCGCCATTTTGTTTTCTTGACACTCCATATCCGAGTTACCTCAAACCAGAAGAAAAGTTAAAGAAAAGAGATTTATTTAAATACGGTCCAGTATCGATTCAACAAACTCTTTCTAGTACTTTCGCTTAAGCATGCCCAAATGAATTTTCCCTGACAAGCGAATGCTTCAAAAAGATTTTGTTTGCAAACAATTTTATTTATACTAGTAGGCCCGTGTGAAAAATTCGCACACCATATTATTATCAAATGCCAAATTAATATGAAAATAAAATAATGCAAGGAATCAAAAGATAAAAAAATCAAATGTTACTTTATCGATATATATAATCTACTAAGAAAACAAAAATTAATTTAAATCTTCATTTTTGTTTGGAACCAATATGTTCACAAATTTCAGTAAGCTGTATCTTTGTTAAAAATAGTCCGATTTCGATGATTTTTTTTCCGTTTGTAGAGGATTTAGTAATCTTTTATATAATCATGGAAATAACTAAGGGAAAAGTGTGTAATTTTTCAGTTATTCGCAAATAAAGTTTGTTTTCTTTCATAACTTGTTTGCCAGAATTTTCGGGGTGATTGGACTATTTTGCACGGCTGAAGGAGAAGGAAACCTTCGAAATTGGTTGGTCAATCTTGAGATTTGGTGAAAAATTAACGATGATATGGGAACTATCCGGGTCTTGCTGTACGCATCAAAATCTTCAAGATCCAATTTGTCCCGTATCGATCTACAGACCTACCACCGTTCCAGTATTGAAGCCTAGCAAAATGTTTGTATCGACTTTATTTATTTTAGAAAGAAAAACAAAAGTGGAGAATACGATTCGCTAACCCCCTGTGAAATTCTGAATCCAACGGTACCCCATTCATGGTATTTGTGCATGACAGGAGCTTATATTTGGTACAAAACCGATTTCGAGCCTTACTGTAATAATATATGTGGGGATATTAAATTTCAATCAAACCTTTGAACTTTAGATATAACTAATTCAAATGGTATAGAAGCTGTACTTACTACTTACCAGAGGTTAATTGTTTAGATTCAACTCCGTATATCTTCTCCTAATTTAGTTTCTATTTTAAGCACATAATCTTCTGATCTTGAAATGCGCCTTTGCTATTCTTAGTTATTTTATGATAATAATATGGGTTTTATACAATGTTATTAAATTCCATCAGGTTCATATCAAATCAACGATATCACATAAACAGTGGAAAGGCTCCTTCTATATTAAAAATCCATCAGAAGCAATAGGAAGTAATTTCCTCAATGGCCTCTGATATTCAATAATATTTGGCAATACCTCTGATTGGACCGAACGCTCCATACCATATACTGAAAGCAATGGGCTGCAATAAGTTCACTTTTAATGTAATACATTTGATAGCGATAATTAGTGGCATCGCTCCTCAAATTCGTAGAAACTCCGCTACTGGAAAAATAAGTGAGTATAAACAGCGCTCGTATGATTCGTTTACTATTTGCTGAATTATTTTTTACTTAATGAGGTTATCACGATATTTTTCTCTTTTCAAGCATGTTAAAGTTTTTTTTTTATATTTTTCATCTTTATTTTAGTTTGAGTTCTTATCATCATATTTCTCCATTTGTACCAAATTATTCTTACCTTATTTTTCTTTCATTTAATTAATGAAGAGCTAATTTTCGCATTGATCTCAGAAGCCATCACTGGGTTAGCTTTTATTTTCGCAATTTCGTAATTTTAATCTACAAAATATTACACGTTCATATGACTGTTAATAAATTCATGATTCCTATCATGAATTTATTAAATTTATATAATTTTTTTTTTCAGAATTGATCGAAACTTCTCTATTCTTCGTTGTGCCCATTGCCAAATTATTGCTGCTAATAAAGAAAGCGAACGGAGTGTTAGATAAATTCTTGAGTATTGAAGTCCCTTCTTTGAGAATAGCATTTAGCTGCTCTTACGAAGTTTCTGGTATGACGCTCTTCTCACTTAGCATCATCAGATCTGCCAAGATGCAAGGAATTTTCACCTACCTTGTAAGCAATTTATCAGTTTTGCAGATTATGACAGAAAGGACTCATTTATATCGTTTTTTTATTGATCTAGCATGTTTGTTTTAGATTTTTAAATATGTTTTCGAAAATATCAGCAAACATGGAAATATAAGCGCTCTAAAACACGATATTTTTTTTAGCTGCGATTTTTCAGATCCTGTTCTATAAAAATCGTCTCAGATATCATGTAGCTGCTTTGTCATTCTTCAAGCAATAGTGGAAGGATAATTATTAAAGAAGCTATAAAAAAAAAATTAAAAAAATATATATCTAGTCAAATATAAGTGGTATTCCCTGAAATATTCTT